CTCGGCGGGAGCGCCGCCGCGCTCCCAAGCGGCGCACTGTAGCAGTGCGCCACCGGGCCAGCCCGTGACCAGAATTTTTGAGTCAATAATTTTATCCACATTTTATGAACATTTCCCCATGTACAGAAGGCATTTTCATGTTCTTATCAACTCAATTCGCATTATACTTGAACTAAGCTGTTGACATTAATCTTATTACTTGGTATGTTTGTTGTATTTTATGTAGCTGTGGGAGAGGAAACATTAAGCAACATTAGGAACTACAAGATGAAATCTACCTCTCTCAGAACAAGGACACCCTGTTTGCTTATTACAAACCCAAATTTGTCCCTGGGGGTTGGGGGTATAGACAGGAATGTGCAAATGTACTCCTCCTTACTTTACAGCATGACATTGGTCCCAGATTTGACCACCCTACCTCTAGGCCCATGTGGCGGTGTGGCTCAGAGCTGCAAAGGACTGAGCAGGGACCCATCAAGGGAAAACAGACTTGTAACAGTTCTTTCCTAATAAAAGAGAGGTCTTTTATGCCACTCCTGGAGTTTGACTTTGTACTTTATGAAATGTTCAATAGCCACAGTTCTGCGAGAAGTATGGTAGAAAGCTGACCAGTTCTTTTATAGGGCCAGAATTTTGCTCTGGGAGAATCTGAGAGAGGGAGGTGGGAAAGGCTCAGAGAGAAGACATTTTCCATAGTTTTCTTCTGCATTGCTTATGCCAGCAGCAGCATGTGGTTACCCAGGACCAACTCCAGCCTGCCACACATTTTTATATGGTCTGCAAATTAAGACTGGTTTTTACATATTTAAATGTTGGGGGGAAAATGAGAAGACTATTTCATGACACATGAAAATGATTTGAAATTCAAACCCATTGCCCATAATAAAGTTTTCTTACACACGGTTATGTTTATTCCTTTACATAATGGTGGCTTTTGCTCTACAATGGCAACGTTAAACAGCTTCAGCAGAGACCTCAGAGCCCACAAATCCTATCATATTTGCTATCTGGCCCTTTACAGAGGAAGTTTGAATAGTGGTAGTTTTCAATCTTTTAGGTCTCAGAACACCCTTAAAAGTTACTGAGGATCTCAAAGACATTTTGTTTTTGTGGGTTATATCTATAAATATTTACTGGATTTAAAATTGACAGGAATTGTTAAATATTTATTTATTCATTTATTTAAAAATAACAAAATAAATTTATTATATGTTAACATGAAAAAACCTGTTAAGAAAAATAACTATAATTAACAAAGCAAGAAAATGTTGAGTGGCGTTATTTTATATTTTTGAAGGTATCTTCAATATCTGCCTTAATATGAGACAGCTGGACTATCATATATGCTTCTGTATTTCAGCTATTATAATCTGTCACTTGCTGTAGTCTCTGCAAAACTCCGCTGTACACTCAGGAGAGAATGCAGGTGGAAAAAGTTAAATAATAACTTAGTGTCATAACTTTGATGTCATAGATCTCCCGAAAATTTCCTGGGAAACCCCAGGGTTCCTAGGACACCACTTTGATAATCACTGCTGAGCACTATAGCACTTGTTTTCCCAAGAGATAAAAAAAATTATGAAGTGCTCACAGCTCTTGGCTTCCTGTAAGCATGGTAACCATGATTTCAATTCCTCATAGGCATGCTCCCTGTAATCTCCACTAGAGAGCTTTCCAACTTTGAGCTGACCCTCAGCCCTGATGGGACAAGAGTTGGAAACCACAAGTGCTCCAATCTACTGGATTATACTGAAGTGAGGACCCACCATGGCTTCTTGACTGATGCGACAAAAAACCCAGAAATAATTGGAGAGATGTATCTTTATCAGTACAGCTCAGCCATCCGAGGTTCCAGTACCTTACGCTTCTACAGAAACCTGAACCTGGAGGCCTGTCTGTGGGAGTTTGTCAGCTACTATGACATGTCTGAACTCCTCACCGACTGTGGAGGCACCATCGGAACAGATGGACAGGTACAGATGTTAACATATGAGCTTTGGTCACTGGAGAAACCAGTTGTTTTGTTTGTTCTGTTGCATAGATCTGCACTAAATCCCAACTCCATTCTTCCATCTTGGTAATGTAGGTCATTAATCATAAGAGATCCAGATAATTGGCATGAATGGTGTGAAAATCCATGCCTATTTCTGGAAAAATGGGCCAAAATATATATTTTTAACAATGGGCTAGAAACATCTTTGTATCAATAAAACACTATGTAATTATTGCCTTAAGTTCCAAATCTACTCTGATATTATAAAAATCCAAATACTGATTTCT